ACCCGCAAGAAGTAGGTGTCACGGGTCCCCCAAGACAAGGGTCCCCAAAGATATCCAGGCACAGCAGAACCGGTGACTGCCACCCTACACCCACCATGGCGCTCACACAGCAGGGCATGCAGCCTGGTGCAGCCGGGGACAAACGCCCAACTGGGCAAAGAGCGGGCAGCAGCAGCTCAGAGACACCTGCATGGCTCCCAGGGAAGCAGGAGGGTGAGGCTGGAGGACAGGCTAGCAGCAGTCACCTGACATGTGGGCACAGCCCATGGGCGTGGAAGGGGCACCCGGTGTGCGGGGGGCCGGGGGCTCTGGGAAGCTGGCAAGACTCTGCCTCGACCCAGCAGGTGACAACATGATATTTACTTTCAAAAAAGTATGAGCTATACAAGATCACACCAGGCCCTTTTTCATTGTGGCATTAAACCAGGAAAGGTGGGGGGGGGGGCGGTGGAGTTTAAGAGAACAAGAAGAACAACTGTTCTCAAATTACCCAAAACATGGTTTTCTGGTGGGAAAGTTCAGGCCTATTCCCCTGGCAGACCTGAGGGAGCAGAGGCTGCAAGACAGCAGATTTGGGTGAGAATCAGCAAAACAAGGAGGGAAGACAAGGGGTGGGGGGAGGAAGGGAAGGTGAAGGGGAGGAGGCACAACTGGACATTCTGGTGAGGACTGAGCTTCCCGTCCAGCAGGCTGGTGAGTGCGGAAGGGGGCCCGAGGACAGCCAGGCCAAGGGGCCTGCCCCAGGGTCTTTCCAGACCGGAGGCTCTGACTGTCGTCTTCTTTTTCACTAGCAATACGATCACTTGGAAAAATCAGATGCAGACCTAAATGCGTAAATGTATAAAGCACACACTTACAGCACAAAAGGGTCCTCTGGCTAAACAGCCGCCTATTCTCACTGGTTGTTTGCAAGCCGTGGACTGTCTAACCCCATGAAGTGGGGCGCAGGATTGAGAGCTTCCGGTGAGGCCCTGGAGGCCACAGCCAAACAGAGGAGGTGCCGCAGAGGCCATTTCACCCACGTGCCCCGCATGGGCGGGCTTCAGTGGTCACGCTGGCTGGCCTGAGAGGTCACCGCATGGGCAGGCTTCAGTGATCACGGCAGCACAAATGCCACAGGCTCAGGCCCCTCCTAGAGGCCCAGCTCACGTCACGTTGCAGTGACTTCCGACTTTCAGAGAAAGGCAGCGGAGCCTCGGCTGAAGGTTATCTTCGAACACGTCACAAGAAAAAACAAGATCTGCTGAGCTGGTGATAATCCAGATTACCATCCATTGCCCCTGGAGCAACAATGGAGTCTAACCAGCTCTGTTTTATAAATATTGTGGGCCCAGCACATCCGGGAGGTGCACCGTCACCGGCTCTCTCCTCCCTCTTGCCAGCAAATTATATCAACAACCTGAAGTGACTGAGCACTATACACAAACACAGCTGATGGAGCAATCTGCAAGCCACACAGCCACATCCACCTGCACGGGTGGCCCTGCTCACGTGCCCGCACACGCGCGGCACCTGCATGTCAGAGGAGGCTCTGAACACGAGGACATGCGCTTGGCTTAGAATGGAACCACCCACTCGTGCTTGGTGGCTGGCTGGTGCTGGGCTCTGCTGACCTTCCGCAGACACGTTGCTGTGTGCTTGAGCGAGCATCATGACAGTAAGCGGGGGTCCCAGCAACCACCCAGGAGGTTCCCACCCACGAACAGAGAGAGAAACAGGCTGACTTTACCCCTGAGCAAGTGAGCCAATTGAAGCATCCAAAGTGACCGCCGATGGACCCCATCAAAACTTGCATCAAATCTCGGGAGGGAAACATTCCTGCGGACCACGAACCACTGTCCAACACACAGAGCATCAAAGATCTCCTTCCAGAAGGGACCACAGGCAGTCCACCAGGATTTAGTGCCCTTGAGGCTTGACAAAGACTTTCAAAGGTCCACGGGGTTCAATCAGTGGAGCCCGGGGCTCCAAGGGGCAGGAGCCTGGCCGAGGAGCAGAATGAACTCACTAACGGAGCCTGCCTCTGCCCCCCACTCAGTCAACAACATCAGGGAGATTTGAACAAACACAAGGTTGGCCAGTCCCCGAGCTGCTCTTGCCACGTTTGTTAACTGCCTCTTACCACACGCAGGTCAACTCCTCAGCCTGAGGACTCCTCCTTCCAGAAACTCTGAAATGGAGACCCACACTTTCTGTGCTGATTTCTGAACGTCACAGTGAATCATGTGCAAAGGAACTGGCTGCTTTATAAGGGGGCAGATGGGGTGCAGGGGTGGGCACTGCTGCCAGGCGGCCAGCTACACCAGGTGAAGACCCACCTGACTGGAAACAGAATTCGTGCCTCCTTTGCCCTGCAACTCTGTCTGGGTATGGGAGGCCAGCATGAGCCAAGCGATGTTGCGGTTGTGACACAGTATCCACTCCCCACAGGAATCCTCATTCTCTGGAGAAGAGCAAGAGGGCAAGGAAGCTGGGCAGGGCACCAGCGTGCGCGGGGGCTGGGGCACCCCCTGACTGGTCATCAGTACTCAAGAAACTACTACGTTTCTCCAGCTCTGCCAGCATGGGGGAGGGGCCAGCCACTAGCATCCGAGGTTCTGTGACATTCCAGACACCAGCGATTTCAATGTCCCTGAGAGCCTGTGCTATTATTCCTTAGCACATAATAGGAGAAGCTTTTTTAAAGATGATAACAGCACTCACAGGCTCAGTCATCAGGGCTGGGGAACCAAGGATGCCATGAAACCAGAAGGGGTGACGGCCTCCCAGGAGTGCCCCCCCTCCGCGCCGTCTGCCTGCCCCTCAGAATGAGTCACTACATGTTCTGAGGACTTGGTTTTCTGATCTGTAAAAGAGGAATAAAATATTGCCGGGGAACAATGGGAGAAAGCACCTAATCAAATGATCGTACACACTTGCTATTTAAGGGCAAAATGCTATTTAAGTGCTGTGATGTCCAATAAGAGGTTGGTGGATTCTAGAAGGGGACAATCAATATTTTTAAATAGGTTTTTTTCCATCTCAGTCAAACAGTATAATACATGTAGAGATTGTGCATTCTCCCCATCTGTGTCCAGGAAACACTGTAAAGGGATCCCTAAATAAACATTAATCCCTTATTTCAAGATCAGACTCCCTTCTGAAATAGATCATTTGAAAACTCCATCCGCCTCCCTCAAGATGGTTTGTTTTTTGTTGTGATGTTGTTTGGTAGGGTTCGCTGAAGTCAAGCTGTTGGACTTGGTGCTGAGATTAAAGTGGTAAAAATATTCCCAGCTACTTATGCTATTGACATTCGATGTGTGGCCTGCGTGGCTCTGAGAACAAGTCAGCCCTTAGCCCTGCCCTCTTAGCCCCAGGATGTCTTTTCAGTCCCTGACCCTTGGGTCCTCCCACTGGCCTTGGGGGTCATGTGGAGATTCTCTTCCCATCTCTCCACTGCGAACACAGTGCACAGAGGGGTCCCCTCCAAAGGACACTGGCTTCTTATCCAAAAACAGAACAGTCACTGGCATTTGTGACAAAGGCGATGTCACTGGTGATGACACGTTTGCAAGGCTGTCCTGTACCCCTAAGAGGCCACCAAGCACATTCACTCCCAAGCAGGGACTCAATTAAAAACCCACAAACACCTCCAGCTTTTTAGTGACAGAAGTATCCACAGAAGCTGATCATCCCTGCACCCCCAGGAATGGCTGTGTCCTTGCTCTGAAACCCCTTTTGATGGACTGGGGAGGGCCAGGCGAGGTAGGACCCCAGAGACTCCAGCTCCCTTAGAAAGAGGGCCCAGCACAGGAACATGCAGAGTAACAGCTCAAATGACATCCTAGTGATACCTTTTTAATGGTAAGATAACTTTAATCACTTTTTAATTGGAGAGACTACCTGAGGAGCCTGTGACTTCATGCCCTTCTGCTGACCCCACCGTGAGTAGCCCACACAGGAAAGCCAGAATTTCTACCCCAAGCTCCCTGCGGAGCTGACCCTGTACCAGTCACACATCTCCAAGCCCGGGTTGCTCCTAATAGAAGAATGTCCTGTTCCCCAGGAGGGCTCAGGGGTCTGCAAGCGCCTCCAGGCCCCTGGGCTCCCAGTGAGACAATGAGCCATCCACCCTGCCCTGCCAGTGCCAGGTTCCCCTGTGCCCCTAGTGCTTTCACTGTGTGCTGCCCCGTGGGTCCCCAAGGCTTGGAAATGTTCCCCTGCACCCCTGCTCCCAGGACTCCCTGCCAGTGCCTGCCAGTGGACAGAACTCTGCCTGCCCACGAAGGGCACAGGGAGGGAGGGGAGCAGCGCAGGTTTACAGGGTGACATGGACTGACAGGCTTGGGCTTTGGGGAGCCAGAGGTGAGTAAGAGGTCCAGGCACACAGCCCTGCTGTGGGTTTGGGAGAGAGGAGCCTGGCAGGTTTGTACCTGTAGCCACCTGGCCAGCCGGGCACCTGCACTTCCCACTTTCTGACTGAGTCCAGAAACTCTATACCCCTCCTGGGCCTAACCCAAACCTGGGGCGGCTGGTGATGAGGGAGATCCGGCAGCCTGCAGCTTGACCCTGCGACCCCACACCTCGGACATTGCAGCCCCCCACCACCAACCCCGGCTGTGAGGCAGAGACAGGTGCATCCCCTCTCCCGCCTCCCGCCCCCCCTCCCCACCCCTGCGACGGAGGGTCGCCCTGCTCTGTTCACTGCCCACGATCCCTGCAGGGGTGCCTGGGGAGCCTCCCTGCAGGGTGGGCAGCGCTGGTCCAGGACCCCATCACTTTCCCGGGACTTCACTCCACCGCTGTCGCGCTCTCGGCAGAGGAGACCAGGGCGGCGCGAGACAGGCCCCCAGTGGAGCTCCAGGGCGCGCTCCCCTCGAGGGGCGTCAGACCCGCGCCGCCCGCTCCCGGGCCCGGAGGCCGCCGAGCTGGCAGCGGGCGCGGGCGCGAGCGGTGCGAGGGTGGCTACGGAGGCTGGAGGGCCCCTGGCTGCCGTCCCTCCCCGGCTGCGAGCTTACCGTTGGACCGCCGGACGATGTTCTCCAGAAACGTGTTCTGCGGGGCCACCAGTCCCCGCCGGCCCCCGGCCATGGCCATCCTCCCGGCGCTGGGCGAGGGGGCGCCCCGCGCGGCGCTCACGGCCGCAGGCAGCTGGGCACGGGGCCCGTGCGCGATCCGGCCGGCCCGAGCCCCACGCGCCCCACGCGCCCCCGGCCGGCGCGCAGGGCTTGCTCCTCACAGCCCCGCGCCCTCCCGCGCGCTCCTCGCCCGCCCGCACCGCGCCCGCCGCCGCTGCAGCCTCTCTGGTGGGCGGGGGCCGCGCACGCCCAGGGCGCCCCCTGCCGGACGCTGGGTGCTCGGGGCCGGCACCGCGGGGCGGGGGGAGGGAAAAGGGGGGCGTCGGGAGGGAGGCGGCACGCGCACCCCGGTGCCGTGCCGTTCAAACCTGCCAGCGCGCGCTCCAGGGGCGCACCTGGGCGCGGCATCAGGGTGGATGCACCCCTAAGGTCGCCAAGAGTCTAGGACCTTGATGGCACCCTGCTCCCTCCCGCTGTCGCCGGATCCTGGCCCTCCTCAGCTCTGCAGCTGGGGATCTGCCAGCTCCCAAAGCAGCGCCTCTCTCGTTAGTTCCACAGCCTGAGGCCCTGAAGTTGTTTGGGAAGGGCGCGGGTCACCTCTGAGTGACCCTGGTTGTTTCCGAAGATCACACACAGCTCCCCAGGTGTGGTCAACTTGCGGGCAGCCTGACCTTGTCCTGCTCACGTCCAGAGACCGCCCTCCAAAGGCCGCGGAGAGCTATGTGCAGGAGTCCCTTTCCTGAAGTCAGGGTCACTCATTACACTTTCAGGAAAGACGTCTGTGCCTGTCTCGCTAACCCAAAGACATCCAAAGAGGATTTGGCTTTTGCAACAAGGCAATCTGGAAGCCAACGTCCCGGCCCACCCAGCGCCAGGAGCACCAGGGCCTACCCATCCCTTCCCAGCAGGCCGGAGTTTACATATTTACCCACCCTGGTCTGCAGGCTGCCTGCGTGCGCTCCTTCCGTGCGGTGTGGAAGGCTATTTTTTGAACCTGGCACATGCAACAATTCTTCCTTGTAAGTAACTATAACTCCTTCTGTCCTGGGCGCTGGTTTGGGGAGGCCCGGAAACTGGGGGCCTGTGCCCACATAACTCCCCCTGGTCAGGGCAGGTGCTTAGTGGAGAGGCAGGAGCAAAGGGAAACAAAACACAGCGGGCTTGTTTCTAGAGCAGGTGCCGGGCGGGCGCAGCTGCGGGATGTCCGGCTTTCCGCCTTCGCGGCGTTTGGGCCTGAGGACCATCCACATCCCTGCCAGTCTCCACACCTGCGCCGGGTCGGAGGAAACTAACCCCGAAGGTTCCCGTGGGAGCTAGGAAGCCCTCCCTTGCTCCTGGGGGAGCGGGGCGATGTCCACCCGCACACACTTGGACCCCCCTCCGGGGATGTGGTCAGAGACCTGTCTAGAATCCCCGCCCCGATGACTCCTAGTCTTCCGGTGAGCTCCAGGCCGGGTCAGCATGAACAGCCACTGTCTAGGGTAGCGGCCCTGGGGCACTGGTCAGCGGCTGACAGGTCTGCGTATATCGCTTTGAGAAAGAAGAACTGGCTCGCCGGGAGTACTTCGCCACGGGGACCTTGGAGATGGCCGCGGAGGGGACCCGGTGGCGTCTAAGTGCTCCCTGCACCAAGTCAGGGGTCAGTGCAGAGTGCCGGAATGAGCTGGAGACGCAGCAGGCATCGCGCTTTGTCTCGTCCCGCCAGGCACAACCTAAGCGGTCCGAGTGTGGACGTGAGCCGAGGGCCAGGCCAGCAGGTTCCCAGCCGGCCAGACCAGCCCAGCCGATGCCTTGAGCCCCGGCGCCACCTGGCGGCCCTTTGTTCTATTACAGGTGAGGAGCGGAGGCTGCCAAGAAACTGGCTCCGGATTTGCGCCCCGCAGCCCTTGCATCTGCCGGTCATTTGCATGGGGCTCCTAGGTTACGTTATGCACTGTGCAAACGGGCCTAGGCGGGGGTTTTCATGACAGTATTATGAAAAAAATCATCATCGAGCAAGCTCCTAATCCTGCTTGTGAAGGGAAGATAAGGAAGGCGGAAGACTCGCACAGACTTAATAAAATTGCTCAGATGTTCATGAGCTAGCTGTTCTTGGCTTAGATAAAAGGAAAGGAATGATACTCACTTGAGGTGAGAGATGTTAGATGTAGGCTTCTTAATAGGAAGGGGAGATGTCTTCCATTCTTAATGTACTATGTACTAATGTACTATGGTGACTCCCCTATGCTGTGTGTGTGTGTGCATGTCTGCATGTGTGCGTGTGTGTGTCTGTGTGTCTGTGTGTGTGTCTGCACGCGTGCATGCTCTGGGTTCAGTATGGAACTTTTTTTTTTTTTAAAGCAATTTATTTATTTATTTTTAAGGATTTATTTATTTATTTATACAAGCACTGGGTACAGTCAGAAGTGCGGGAAGGCGAGAGAACTCACCAGAGCCAGAGCAGGGAGCAGAGCAGGCAGAAGGACCGAAGTACACCGCTCAGGGGAGCAGCGGGCGGCAGGAGAGGTCTGCGCGCCATGTGGGACCCTCCTCCGGTGGCCGGGGAGCAGCCGGGGAGCAGCCGGGGATCGAACCGGCGCCGCAGAGGCTGCAGGCAACTTCGCAACCCAGCGCTCAACCGCTGTATGGAACTTTTAGTGGCATGCTTGAAGGAGTTAAAGACCTAATAACACTGACAGGTCAGCAACCTTCAAAACCCACTCTTAGGGGTGTCTGTCTGGGTGTCGAGGATGACACTCCAGCAGTCCTCCTTGGCCTTGCTGACCCTCCCTTGCTGCCTTGGGGATGCAGCCGTGTTCTGTCCAGTTCTGACTTACCCTGGCAAAGATTGCCAGGGTTTGGAAAACCCCACCCTCCTGCTGGTTTGCAGGACTCCACTCCTCACCCCTCCTTGCAGCCTCTGACCCTTGCGCTGTGTACAGGCCCAGGCCCACCCGGCTCCAGTCCATGTGAGGATTGGCACTGTGCACTGTGATGCCAGAGCAAACTCTGGGCTCACAGGTTTGTCACAAGTTGGTGGCACATTTGGGAAGGAGACACTGGGGTGGCTGGGTAAGTGGAGGGCTTGGAGGTGGACCGTGAGGAGTTGAGTCACTCCTGAGTCAAAGGAACAAATTTAGGGCCTCCCTGGTGGTGCAGGGGTTATCAAGTTATTCGATGGACACTGCAGTGCGAGTTCAATTCCCGGCCAAGGAGCTGACCCACAAGGTACAGCAGACCTCTCCTGTCTCACCCTGCTCCCCTCAGCAGTATATTTCAGTAGATCTGCCAGCTCTGCTTCCCACTCTGTCTCTGGTGAATTCTCTCACCTCCACACCACTGGCCTGCACCACAGCTCTTGTATGCATGGATGAATGAATATTTGAAAGAAAAAGAAAAAAAAAGGAGCAACTTTAAATGGGGAGGCAGGGTTCCAGCATCTTCTGCCCCTTCCTACAGAAAGTGGGTCCAACCTCAGTGACCTCCCACCAAGAGGTGCAGGCTCTGAGAGGAAAGCAGCTGAAGCCTCACTACAGTCTCCCCGCCTCGCCCCACCTGGCCTCTCAGGAGGGCCTTCCTCTCCAGTCGGACACATGCCGTGTCAGCATCACCCAAAGGAGAGTGCACTCCTTGAAATAACATGGATTCGAGCAGCTGTTGCTCTCATTGGTGGAATCGAGCGCCCCCGCCCCCACCAGATCAGTGAGTTTGCAAAAGGCAGGGATAGTGATGGAGGCTGAGGGCTGCAGGGAGCTTGCGGGGGTGGGGAGATGGGGCTGCAGTCCAGATGCCAGAAAAGGCGTGACACAAGAGAGACATCTCACCAGAACCAATCCATGAAATGGAGACCGTGCCACACGCCTAAGGGGCATGTGACATCGTGCAGACAGCGTCCTTCAAGCATGGGCAATTCCTGCCCAACCCAGGGAGCAGGTCAGGGGAGATTCCTGGGGAGCAAACACGGACATCACCAGGAGGGACAGGACCTCCCTGGGTGAAATACCTACAGGAGGAGTCGCCAGCTGAGGGATTCCAGTTTCTAGAATGTGCTGACCAGCAGTGTTTACGGTCCATCATTTCTGTGAGCAGCTGGACAGGCCACACCCTGTGGGATAACGGTTCTGTGTTACCAACACCTTCCCAAGGTGGGGGAAGGGAGAGACTCTGCCAGAACTGACAGGATGAAGAGAGGGCATGCTGACACTGGTGCTACCCCACAGTGTGGCTGACCCAGTCAGCATAGGGAATGTTTCTAGAACTGGGCCAGATCCTTCTAAATGCTGAAACTGCCCTCCCCACCCCCGCCATCGAGAGTGAACAGGATGTTTCCCACCATCGCCTCATGGTCAACAACCTCATCTCACTACAACAAACACCGGCCAGGACCTAGCACGTGCCGGGCAGGATGCGGTGATGGGGCTCCTGCACCGGGCATGCTAGGGGCACTCAGGTGCATGCGCATGGCCGCAGGTGTCCCCTTCTTTCCTCTCTCAGGTATGGGTCTAAATCTTGCTTTCTTTGTCAGGAAACTACAGGTGAGCTTGATCTCCCTGGAATACTTTCCCACCCCCTCTGAGCAGGCGGCCTCACTCCCACTCCTTTGGAAGTAACTCACCTGACCTGGCCAGAAGTTGGCCAGGGTGTGCCCGAGGCCAGAAGTTGGAGTGAGAATTCACCCATTCTTTACTCCCCTATTGCAAATGTCGCCTGGTGCAGGGCTGGGGCATCCTCCTCTGAAGACACAGCCTCGACGCCAACAGCCCCTCTGAGGCTGCCCAGCAAGTCACCCCATAAATTGTCTTGCAGGAAGAACTGAGTAGAATAAATTACCAGAAGGCTTCAGCCATGAACCTCTGCCAATAATCACTCTTGACTTCGCTAAGCCCTATCCGAATGTGTGTTTGGAAGTCATGCTATAAGGCGTGAAGAGGAATCTAGGGAAGCAGAGCACCAACAGCCCCCCAAATAGTTCTGACCCACCAAAACGTTAGCGCACAGATCACAAAAGACAAGGCCAAACACTCGGCTCAGAGCTGCTGG